TCTTTCCTGTAGTGAGGGGCCCAAAACTGAACACAGGATTTGAGGTGCAGCCTCACCAGCACTGAGTACAGGGGCACAATCACTTCCCTACTCCTGCTGGCCACACTATTCCTGATACAAGCCAGGATGCCATTGGCCTTCTTGGCCACCTGGGCACACTGCTGGCTCATAATTCAGCCAGCTGTCAACCAGTACCCCCAGGTCTTTTTCCACCAGGCAGCTTTCCGGCCACTCTTCCCCAAGCCTGTAGCGCTGCATGGGGTTGTTGTGACCCAGGTGCAGGACCCGGCACTTGGCCTTGTTGAACCTCATACAATTGGCCTCGGTCCATCGATGCAGCCTGTCCAGGTCTCTCTGCAGAGCCCTCCTCCCCTCGAGCAGATCAACACTACCACCCAGTTTGATGTCATCTGCAAACTTACTGAGGGCACACTCAATCCCCTCGTCCAGGTCGTTGATAAAGATATTAAACAAGACTGGCCCTAGAACTGAGCCCTGGGGGACACCGCTTGTGACCGGCCACCAACTGGATTTAGCTCCATTCACCACTACTCTCTGGGCTCGGCCGTCTAGCCAGTTTTTAAGTAGGAAGCACTGAAGACATTTTAAGTAGAAGTGGAGCTAGATGTACATAATGTTATCAGCTAAAGGGCAGAAAGTTGCAGAATAACTGTGCTGGTGGTGTGGAATACTGCTGTGTTAGTTAGAAAAGCCACATTTGCAAATAGCTGCAGAAGAGAAACACTGATGTAAGTCAATGTATGGTGAAAACCTGTAGCTCAGAGAAAATATTTTTTTAGGAACATCTGTATGAGAAAGAAGGAAGTACAAGGCCTGTTGTCAGCTAGAAGTCAGCAGGTTTGCATGAAGGAGTGCTACGTTGGAAGATGGGAATACTTGGACCTGATGTGGGTAAAGGAGGGAGGAGTATGTGGGAATCTTGATGGTGAGAAGGTGGATGGCAATGGAAGCAAGACTAGTATTGTACCTCATATAACTTCTATGGCTTAGACAGGGGTACTCTTTGCTGGGTAAAAAAACTGGCTGGATGGCCAAGCCCAGAGAGTTGTGGTCAACGGAGTTAAATCCAGTTGGAGGCCGGTCACAGGTGGTGTCCTCCAGGGCTCAGTTCTAGGGCCAGTCTTGTATAATATCTTTGTAAGTGACCTTGATGCGGGGATTGAGTGTACCCTCAGCAACACTGCAGATGACACCAAGCTGGGTGGGAGTGTCGATCTGCTTAAGGGGAGGAGGACTCTGCAAAGGGACCTAGACAGGCTGGATCGATGGACCAAGGCCAACTGTATGAGGTTCAACAAGGCCAAGTGCCAGGTCCTGCATTTTGGTCACAACAACCCCATGCAATGCTACAGGCTCGGGGAAGAGTGGCTGGAGAGCTGCCTGGTGGAAAAAGACTGGTTGACAGCCGGCTGAATGTGAGCCAGCAGTGTGCCCAGGTGGCCAAGAAGGCCAATGGCATCCTGGCTTGTATCAGGAATAGTGTGGCCAGCAGGAGTAGGGAAGTGATTGTGCCCCTGTACTCAGTGCTGGTGAGGCTGCACCTCAAATCCTGTGTTCAGTTTTGGGCCCCTCACTACAGGAAAGACGTTGCATTGCTGGAACATGTCCAGAGGAGAGCAATAAAGCTGGTGAGGGGTCTGGAGCACAGGGCTGATGAGGAGCGGCTGAGGGAACTGGGGTTGTTCAGCCTGGAGAAGAGGAGGCTGAGGGGAGACCTGATGGCCCTCTGCAGCTGCCTGACAGGAGGGGGGAGTGAGGTGGGGGTCGGCCTCTTCTCCCTGGTAACAAGCGATTAGACAAGAGGAAATGGCCTGAAGTTGTTCCAGGGGAGGTTTAGTTTGGACATTAGGAAAAATTTCTTCACCAAAAGGGTTGTCAGGCTCTGGAGTGGGCTGCCCAGGGAACTGGTCGAGTCCTCCTCCCTGGAGGTATTTAAAAGAAGGATAGATGAGGTGCTCAGGGACATGGTTTAGTGGTGGGATGGCAGGGTTAGGTTAAAGGTTGGACTCGATGATCTTAAAGGTTTTTTCCAACCTAAACAATTCTATGATTCT